TAATATCCTATCTAATGCAAAAAAGTCCCTTTCAAGCTTCTCCTCCGATACCGATCTTCCACAATCCATTGCTCAAGAACCTGCTGAGGAAAATTCAGCATTTGAAAAAAAACGCTTGCGGTTTACGAGGGCGATTTTATGGAGATTGAGAAGGCATTGAGTGGGTTCAATTCTTTGTATTTTTTTCCCCCACAACCGCGAAAATTCAAATCAATATACATATAGAGCAAAGAGGGACGGAGGTTAGTCATTTGGATTTGTGGATTTTCATTGTTGTGCAAGAATGAGATTAAAATTCATGGTCATGCTTTTGCTGTGCAACTCTCCAAGTCACGAATTATATGCGACCATTTATATTTGATGAGCAATTTCGATTTTCAAACTAATTTAGCGCACTGTTTGCTGTACTCTCAACAATTGGTGTTTCTTCAATAATAAAATCCTCAAGTTTCAGCAATTCTCAAAAGTTTGCCCCGATACTTTGGCGAGGGGATGAACTTAAATTGACATTTTGTGTAATTGGATTGGCTGAAGGAGTCACAAAGAGCCAAAACTCACCATCACTCATGTCTGTAATCCATACTCTAAACTTTGCCATTGCGCCATAACTTCCCAAGGGAGCATCCCAGAAGAGACACAGAGAGACACTCTCTAATCCCCTAAATGGGCTGCCGATGTGCGGGAGAAAGTTCCATCCAAGATGATGTTTGCAGTGGAATTTTCGCGAATCTCTCAAATTCCATCTAATGGCCACTGTGCGCCTTTTTTTTTCGCCACGGCGGCAACAATATTCCAAGCATTATTCATCGGATGCGTGGCCGAGCGGCAACATAATTAATGTTTACCATCGGCAAATATTGCTGGAAGCACGCGCAAGTTTCAAGTGGCTCTCGAGAGCATCCGAACGGCAAAAAACACACTCACACTCACGAGGGAGCGTCAAAACAGAAGATGGAAAATTAAAACAGGAAAATTAAAATCATAAAGAGTTGAAAAAGCATCGAGATGTTCAATGGAATTTTGTCAAGGGCGCTCCACGAGGAGTGGTGAAATGTCAGTGACAATTGTTTACACATTACTCGACACAAACCTATTGAGGAATAATAGAAAAGGAGCAGCGCATACTCAATTAGCTGCCAACGGACTTCCTTTCGCCCAGCGCGCTGGAGTCTTAAGGAAATGCGATTTCTCCGTGGAATTGCATTAAGTAATGTTGGCGACACAGAATATTGCCAATATACAGAGTTTCAGGATCAGGATCAGAGGGAAAAAGGAGAGAGAGAGAGAGAGAGAGAGTAAAAAGAGTGGAAATCACACAGAACTTATTACATGGGATTTTTTTTTCACCCCTCTTCATTCCAATATCAAAGGACTGAAATGGGGCGCCAAGAGGAAAATAGAGCTCAACAGGATTCATATTGGCATAGATAGAAAAAAAGGTCTTCTGGGAAATATTAGATGAATTAAATATCTCTTTGAGACTGAATGAGACTCTCAAAATTGGATTTCGCAGAAGCATTGAGTGTGTCAATGAGGATTTCTCCATGTGGAATCAATATGGTGAATTTATTCCAAGGGAGTTTGATGAGAACAACCGCCAAAATCCCACCATCGAGCTTCGCGTGGGGGATGAAAGAGGCTTCATTTTGATAAATGATTCACCCACACCCACTATTTATTGATTAACACATGAGACTCTCTGCTATGGATAAATATAGCGCCTTTGCGCCTCGACGGAACTTTTCGAGGAAATGTTTGTTGCTCATTAGGAAAAACTTTTTGGGCGCGCGCTTCTTTTCCGCCAATGCAATTAGGAATGAAGTGCTCTGCAGTACTTATGGTGCAACAAAGTTGCGATATAATGAAACAGGAGAAATTCAATTTCAATGATTTTCCACTGAAAGTGCTTCTGCAGTAATTAAAAAGTTGCACAACATACATTATTCACGGTGTGTTTCATTGGCATTCAAAGGATATATTTTGTATCCTATTAAAGGATTGTAATACTCCTTTGAATTAAGCAGATAATTCAATTAAATTGCATTGAAAAAAATGACATTTTCAGCTGTAAAATATGCTGAATTTCGACTCAATCATGGAATAGGGTTAAATTGATTGAAACACAGTGGCTAAATTTGCTCTATTCTTTCACAACTACAGAAGAGAATTGCTAAGGAAAATCGAGGGTTCGCAGGAATGGCAAATATCCGCTGAAATTCCAGTGTCAGCAGAATAATCTCGTGCTAATGGTCAATTGTGGCTCTGTTTTCGCAGATTTCCCGCTGCGATATGCTTGTAATTAATTTACACAGTGTCTTTCAATTGAAGCTCAGCGGAAAGCTCCGGGGGAAAATTTTTCCCCCCTAATACATGGGAAAAAAGCTCACAGTGTGAGAGCCTAATTAAAGAACCAGAGAGGAACATTTTTGCTCCAAATATTTTCAGGATATTCAAATGAGATACGAAATTAAATGACATGTTATGAATTAATTATGATTTGGAAGATTTTGCCAGGAAAATTTCATCCGCAGAACTTTCTGGTTTTGCTGCAAATTTAGCAGACAATCTTGAGAGGAGGAGTGAGAAAAGTTTTTGGTACAATTAAATGTCTTATAATAACAACGCCCAATGAATTTCGTGGAAAAGCTTCAAAGTATGCTGGAAATGTGATAATTAATCTCAACACATATGAATATCAATTTAAAGTGCAATGAAAATTGGCAGGAATTTGTACATCAATCAATTGCAAAGTTTCCCATTGAAACATCATGTAATGTGAAGTGGAGAAACATATAATGAACTGAAGAGCTGAAGTTGTAATTAAAAGTTTTGCAGTGTAAACATCGGAAGGATGATTTAGCAACTTTGTGCACAACGGAGAACTAATTACAGGAATATAAGGAAATAATTAGAAATTGAGAATTCCACAGGCAAACTGAAAGGTTTTACAAACGAGAACAGGATTAAAGTGTGAAGATAATCGATATTGAATAGCTCTGGAGTGTTTGTAAAGTCCTTCATTCCACACAACACTGAATATGGAGTTTCTGATGGTCTGAGAATGTGTTACAAGTGCGTGAGCTTTGAAGAGCCTTCAATTGTGGTTCATTGACAAAAATTGATGATTAAAGAAGCTTGAAGAATGACCGCGCTCAATTGCGTGACATTCGACTTCACAAAGTCAGCATTCTGTCCAATTTCTTGAGGTAGGCGGACTGAAATTCTCCTTCCAATTGAATTTCTGCTATTTCTGGTTGTTTATCAGAAGAATTTCATTGTCAGAATTATTTCCCACAAATATGATTATCGATTGCCACAATTTAATCCAGTTTGGTGGTGGATTTTTGGGGTTCTGCAATTGATGATTTTCACTTGTGAAGAGACGGAGAAAAAAATTCCCGCATGTCTGCATATCCAGTAATTAACCATTTGTGAGTTGTGTGCTCGACTGGACTAAATCCAATTGATGACCCAGAGAGTTTTCCATCAGCACCGAGTGTTGGGTGAGGCTGTGGAAAATCTGTCAACAAGGAGGAAAAAGAGAGGACTCGGGGAAAGTCTCTTGAAATCAAATTCAACCCCTAATTGACGAGAGTGACACAATGCGAATGAGATGATGCGGAGAAAGGATGGGTAAATTGTCCCAAAATTATATGGGTTTCCATCGTATTGTTGATCCTCATCAATTTCTCTCTCCCTCTCTCTTTGGGCTTTCTCAACCCAAAGTTTCCAACCCCCTCCTGAGCCTCTCTTCCGCTCATTGTCTCAACCAATTGTTTCTCCATATTATTGCATACGGAATTCAACACACACAATTCACGCTCACAAGGGTGAGAATCTCCACAATCCGCGTGTCATGCCGAGGCAGAGAATGCTGACAGCTCCTGAAGCCCATCAATGCACCCCATGATTCTATTACACACGCGGCCATTATTTCGAATGTGTTAAAAAATCTCGCAGGAAGAATTGAGAATGGCACAATGGAATCCACTCGCAAACCTTTTTAATGCTCTCCAACGCCCAGATTGAATGACACACGGTCCATTCCTCCGTCACTCACACCTCAATTGTTCACCATCAGTGCCGTTCAAGGAGTGCACGGGTTGTGGCAGAAAAAAAAAGAAGCATAAAATCCATGTGAAGCACATGCTGAAGTGGATGGCAGAAGAGCTTCGAGTGCAGCAGTTGCAACTGCACAGCATTCGCCACATTGGGGATTGTTAAAGTTGCCGAAGAAGCGGGAAAGCTCTTTAAAGACTCCCAAGAAATCTTCATGGAGCACTGGTGTCAGAAGTGGGATGGGAGAATCTTTAGAATAGCGGAGAAAACAATTTCTGAAATGTATAGACAGTCGGAAAGTTTGACCGCAATTGTCGCTTTTCCCATCGAAAAACCAAAAAACACAAGCGAATGTGACAAATTAAGATTTTCAAAAAAGAATAAATTAATTTCATTGAAAGCTTTGAGGCTTTTAATCATGTATAATTGTTCTATTAAAGTATATTTTATATTGAAAACAATGCGTTCAAAGGTCAAAATCACATTCTATACTACATATTTTCCTCATTTCGCCAACAATTGCAAACTCAACAACGCGTGGCGAATGTTTGGGGTTTAATTTGCGCTTTTGCATTAAGCCCTTAATGACACTTTTATGGGTGAAACCTCATGGCAGAAGTGCGCGAATTGGAATCACAATTGGACAACAAAAAAGAGTCTAACACACCAGCAGAACAATTGGAAATCACGTGGGGGTTTTTCACTCTACATTTTCAAGCATGCAAAAGTATATATATATATATGTTCTCGCATTTGCCGCTGGGGTAAGTCTCACCACCTGGAAAAGCCCACCGGGGGGAGGAAGGGGAAATTAAATAAAATTCACTCACGTGATGATAGCGCTTTTTTCCGCTTAGGGTGAATTTGGCAATTTTTTTTTTCGACACAGTATGGCGCATTTTTATTTGGAAAGAGGGAAAAAAAAGGGAAGAAAAGCTCACCATTTTCATCTGATACGATGGGTGACACGGATGTTGCGGCACTGGAACTACTCCAATGGGAGATTGAGCATATTATCCAAAAAAGGGTGTAAATAATCCACAGAGAGTCATTCTGTTTGCTTCTCACTGAATTCCATATATCACAAGATGACCGCTCCATCACTTTCTTCTTCTTTTTTTTTGTGGTGTGTTGCCCTTCTTATTCCCTTTTTAGCACATGTAATAAATTTTCCAGGCCCTTCACGCGCGCGTTTCTGGCAGATCTTTCCTCCAAGTGACTCGGGGTTGGGGGTGTCCCTTTTTATATATTTTTGCAGAGAGATCCTTTGGCTTTCACTTCTTGTGGCACTATCACGACCACTCTGGGAATCGTGGAGACAACCCGAGAGCACACAAGCTCGCTTGCGATCCTCCTGGGATCCACTCACCCCCGACAGTCCTTCCTGGGGGCGCACAGAGCTCACCACTCTGGCACAATACAGCCGGGTGGGTCTATTCACATCCTCTGACCCAGAGCCTGACCACGCACACACCCTCACTAATTGCTAACACCATGTTTTCCAGCGAGGGGGTGGAATTGAAAAATTCACTCCAACAATTTCATCACTGAATCAACAATCAATTTCGCATTGCGACTCCACCCCAGAGAGTGAGCGAAAGAAATCCACGCACACACACGCACACACTTGAGGAAATTGAGCAGAATCGGAAGTGGAATGGAACACCTGAGGGTATTCGCGCTATTGTATCCTGGCAAGGAGCAACGTCAATTTCAGCGTGAGATCCCAAGGATATTTATAGAATCTTCATGCGGTCTCTGGGAACCATTAAATTATGATCGATGGATTCTCTCTCCTTGGGAGCTCTCAAAAGGGGGGCTGCTGTGTTCGCACAAAAAAACGTCCCCCCAAAAAATCCACACACACACACACAACAAATCCACACACTCGAGGCTTTTCCGGGAAAATATTATTCTTTCACGACTGGCGCACAGAGTTTTTATTCAACATATTCGGCGAAATGGGTTTTCTGTGAAATTAATTCCTGCATTAATTCATGGGTCAAGCCCTCGACGAGTGTGACACTTGGGGGTGGTTGAAAAATTGAATAAATCACCATAATATCGCACTGATTGATGACGTCCTGCCCGCCTGCACTCTTTTTTTTTCACGCCGGAGCACAATTTCAAACAGAATTGCCAACGACTTTGCGCGCACAAAGAACTCCTTCGTCGCTGACGAGTGGCGACTCTTGAGACAGAGATCCTCTCCTTAGGTCCTCAAACGCTTGCCGATCACTACCACGCATCCACCACGACCGACGGCTGAGCGAGTACTAAAGCGGAAGACGCGGCCAATGTGGCAAGTCTGCAGCCGGAGTTCTCCTCATCGCCCCGCCGAAGAGAGCCATCAGAAGAGCGAGAGAGAGAGAGCGCGCAGGGGAAACGTGTTCTAAACCGAGTGCGTGCGCGAGGGGAAGTGAAGCATGGCAGGGAGACAAGGTCAAAGATTCAAGAGCCTGAGAGATTATGACAAAAAACCTGCTGCCGTTTATCTCTTTTCGGGCACTCAATTGACCCTTTTCCATAAGGTGGGATTTGAGATTTTAAAGTTAAACAGCCGAAAATATTAGGGAAGAGCAAGAGAAAATGAAGAATCTTACTGAATATTATCTGGATCGAAAATTTACCTTCTGGATTTATAAACTTCTAACTTTGAGCGCTCGATTGACGTTAAATTGAAACACTTTTGGGGTTTTTACATGAAACCTTTCATGTGAAGTTTCTAATGAAACTAATATCAAGTTTCTGTATTTGCAATAAAAGTTGAGAATTGCTTTCAATATTGAGCTAAAATTTTAGCGAAACTTTTAGTTACTTTCGTTCCTTAATGAAATTTCATTGACTAACATGTGATATCTATTCCCGAAAGCGTTTTCAATTCATTTAGAGACGCAATTTATACCTGAAACTTTAACTCTAAACATTCACAGTAAGCAAAGTAAACTATCTCTCCCATATTTTGTGATAACTTAAGTTATCTGGAAGTTTGTTTTGCCACTAATTCCATGAATTATCTTCTTTAGATGCAAAACTACTTCTCAATAAATCTATTATAAAGTCTTTTTATTTACACAACCAAATCCTGAGTTTGCAGAAATTCAGAGAAAATCTACATAAACATTATTTAAATGATAGAAATAGACAAAAAGTCGTTTATTTCTGTGTTTACTGAAACGTCTGGTGACTATTCTATTAAAGACACTCATAAACAGCACATTAAATATTTAGTTATTCGCCTTTATAGGAAATATATTTACCTACTTTACGAAAATCTGTCAAATAAATCAATCTCTTTAATATGTAATGGATGTATTTTGAGTGTTTATTCGTGCTCTTTTATGGCTTTCAGTGACCACTTCAGTGCTTATTGTCCAGCATTTTCTCAGCTTAACAACTCTAACTTGATGATTTAGTTGAAAGGTTGTCATAATTCTGGAAGGAATGAAGAAAGTTCACATAAAATGACTGTGAAAAAGTCGCTAAATGGCTTAAATTTCAATTAACCAAACCCTTTTTGGAGAATATAAAACAAGTTCATTTCAAAAGTCTTGAAGAGTTGCTGTGAAAAATTCTTATAGGATTTAATGAATTTAACAAACTTTTCATTCCACTTCCTTTAAATATTTAATACAACTTTCCTGTTTCTTTTCCGCGACGCGCAACAAAGGATGTGAAAGGTGAAATTCAAATGTAGTTTTCCAGGAGTCAGGAAGTCACCGGAAATTCTCCGGTATTCGAATAAATCCACACTTGTGACACTTTCTATGGACTGTTTTTTTTCTTCTTTTATTTTGTGTTAAATTAAAATAGGAGAAAATAATTGGACGCACGGCGAAGGAAGAGGAATTTTTATGACCTTTTCTCGCTCCAAATGTTTATTTGTTGGTATGACAAAATGAGTCGGACTTTTGCCGTTAAGAGCTTCTCCCCCCGCCCCGTGGAAAGTTCATTAGAATATCCTTGAGTTTGTGCTTTTTTTTCCTTTCTTGCTCCCTTGTTTTTTTTTTGTCCACCAGTTTTTTTCCGCGTTTATTTACTTCTTCTCTTGGGCGCTTTTGCACAGTTGGAATTTCTGTACAGAAGCTTCCAAGAAAACTTTCCTCATAGTGTATATTTATTTTTCTACGTGAAAGTTGGTTGTTTTTGTGTTTCACAGGATTCGCGAAATGTACATGACGGAATAGTCTAAATATTCTGTGCAAATCCAAAGTTTTAATAAGAACATCTTGAAGAAGAATGCGTGCAAATGAAGTGAACTTTTCCGGGGAATTTCTGTCAATGTCACGTTGCAGAAGGAATTATTCAATCAGTTGGAAAATACATTGTGAGAAATCTCATTCTCATTAAAAACTAACTCGCGTGTTGAATAATTGCCACTTAATGTTTTTGAGAGTCTCTATGGGGGAAATTTTTAGTGCGAAATAATCAAAAATTTATCTGTGATGGTATAAATTAATTTAATGTGTCCCAAAGTCGATAAAATGTCGAGCCAAATCGGCAAATCATGGGCTAATTTGTTACATTTCACAACACGAAATAAATCTGGAGAACAAAAAAAGCCACTCTCGACTGAGCGAATGATTACAATGTACCTAATTTTTAAGTGTCATCTTTCGGTTGGAATTAACTGAGCAGCGCATTTCGGCGCTTGATGAGGCATAAAATTTTATTGGAGACTCACAGAGGCGCTCACAATGGCATTTCACATGCCACAGATGAATTTCTTAAGAACATCACACAAGAACTGACCAGAAGAATTCAGATCGCAGAGGAACAAACGAGAGCAATTGAATTAATTAAAGTCCATGTTGTTTGTCACTATAGGTGGTCATTAGGCATTATTTTCATCTCTTTGTGCTGTCTGTGAGGAATTTCCTATTGAATTTCCCGCACCTTTATCTCTGGGTGATTTTCACTGTGCTCAAGTTTGACCTTTGATTTCGTCCTACGCGCATTTCTGGCATATTTTTGGGAGTGAAAAGTGTCGAATTTTGTGGTGCGAATCAGAGCCAATTACAAAGTCAATGAAAATGTAGATTAGATTCTGTGTTAACGTCTGTGGATGAAGAATTTTGGTTGTTGAAGCGGCGTGAAGGGGTTGGAAAACAGTCATCATTTGCGGTCAAGGGGGAGATAATATGCCTCAAATCTGTACACCACTTCCTGGACACTTCCACAATTCCTCTGCAGAATTTTCAATCCTTCCAGACACTTCTAACTGTATTTGAAGGCATTTCTTACACTTCTAGAAAAAAAATGCCTCAATATGATGAAATGGAAGGTTTTGCAGTGCAAATATTCGATATATTTTACCACTTCCCATTCTTAAACACTTCCGTGACGTTGTACACCAATTCCAACCATAATATCTCCCCCTTGCTTGCGGTCTTTCCATTTGCGCCTTTCCCAACATTGAATTGATGGCAAATTCCATGCATTCGCAGTGCGAACTGAAAGGGGTTGTGATTTGGCCCATCTCGAGGCGAACTGTTTAAATTTCATTTCAGGAAATTCGCCATAATCCGGAGGACATCCTGTCACACCCTCTCAAACTGCAGAGGTCCGGAAGTTGCGAGGGTGGAATCATTATGACTGACAAGCTCTAAACTTTTACCCAACTTTTCACCCAGTGTCTCCGTGTTTTTCTTTTATCCGCCCTCTCTCTGTGGGGGTGGGTGGGGGTTGTGCAAAGTTTTCCCGCCTTCGGGCTCTGGTCCACGCACAGCATCGATTCTATCTTGTCGCTGAAATTCAACATTGCGAGATCTTGGGCACTTCGTCGTCCACTTGATGGCAGTCCAAATATTTTCACTTCATTCCATCTCTGACGATGAAGTGGCGCGAGAAGGGGAGCAATGAGAGTGCCTGACGATGTAAGATGCTATAAGCGGATTCCGTTTGAAAATCAATGGCGGCAGCGGAGGTGTAATAAGGCGCTGGCCAAATTATGAATTCACATCACAGTTTTACGATATCATTGTTAGCTGCTGCTGCCGTCTTGATTTCCATGCTCAAAATGGTGTGTAGAAATGTCGTGCCGGAGGAACAAATGGAATTAATCATTGATTTATGGACTTTTCTCTTCTTTTCACCCAACGCGCGCTGAGCTTCTCAAACTTGTGGGGCCACGACAAATAGGATCCCGTGTTAGGTTCCTAAAATTCCTGATGAGATTCTGAATTGATAATGAGTAGCAGAAAGAGCGGCTATTCCAGTTAACTCGTCTAATTCAATTGCTGAACGTGGGTTTTAATCGAAAGGACTTCCAAGAAGAGTATTTTAGTAATACTATTGATGAATTCCGTGTGGAAATCTTGAATGAAGCGCCATAGTTACAAAGCCTTAAGTGAAATTCCACGAATAGCCAATAATCCCGATGCTTTTCACTTCAAGGGCGGAATGAAGTGATTTGAAGTGCCTCAAAATGCTGGTTTGAGAAACACTTTTGCAGTCTATTACTGGCATTTAACGTGCATAAAACTAATCAGGTGGCAGTTTGTTGGCAATTCAAGATGGGAAGGTGTTTTTCACTGTAATTCTATTAATATTCAAAGCAATATTTTGAATATTTCAAATAAAATGTGTAATTACATGACAAAAAGAGTTGGAATTTATGGCTCAACCAGAAATTTATGCGTGTCACAGAATAGATTGAAGAAGAAATGAGCGCGCATTGCAAGGCATTGAAGAGATTCTCATCATCAGAAAATACACTCTTCGCGCCTTTTATCTCAACTCACAAATGGCCCCTCAATTGGTGCAGTTTTTGAGGAACTTTTAATTGCAGTGTGAGAATTGGTGTGAGAATATTCAGTATAAAGTTTTAAATGATTCCCTTTTCCCACTGTTGTTACTCTCGTTGGTATAGTTTTCGTGTTCTCCTCTTTCCGTCCGCTTTTCGCGCGCAGCAAATTCATACAAAGAGTCCAGTGGAATTACACAAAGTACAACATTTGTAGAAAGAATAATTACTGGAGGAGAAAAACACAAGAAGCTTGACACTAATTAGAGAAGGAATACTTTTTTTTTTCCTTCTTTATTTGAGCCATTCATTCCACCCTCCCAAGTCTTTATTCTGCCTGTTAACACACAACGCCTTCAGCTTTATTTTCAGCTTGGATTACACACGGAAAAAGGGAAGATTTGAGGAGAATTTGCGAAAACTAAGCATAAATAAGGTTAATGATTTTCCTCTGAAATCCCGGGATTTCACTGGAATTCACGAAGAGTGCTTTTTTTTTGCTAAACAAACAGTTTACACGG